CCCCCCACACCACACACACACACACCCCCCCCCCCCACCCACCCACCACCCCCCCCACCCCCACACACACCCACTCATCCCCACAACACCCACACCCACTCCACACACACACACACACACACACACTACACACACACACTCATACACACACAAACACACACACTCATACCCTCACACACACACACACTCATAACCACACACACACACACCACACACACACACACTCCAAACACACACACACTACATACACACACACATACACACATACACCCACACACTCCACACACACACACACACACACACACACACACACACACACGCACACCCCCCCCCCCCCCCCCCCCCACCCCCCCCCCCCCCACACACACACACCCCACACACACACACACACACACACACACACACACACACACACAAGTTAATGTCAGCTGGACTTGTAACTGGTGACAGTAGCTGCACACATGAGAATTTCATAAATATGTGGACATGAAAATCCATGGATATTTGTTCTTCCATCCACCACATGTATCTCAGCCTGTTCTTGTGCCAGGCCTTTCAGAAATATCAAACTAGTTTTTCTAATAAGGCCCCAGCTCTAGTGGCCTGGAAGAAAGACTAAGAAACAGACTTTGACCGCATACAGAGAGATAAGACGACAAAGGTGTCAGAATGGGAAGACTGGGGTCTGTAGAGGAAGAAGTGTGGGAAGGGACCCCACCTCCACGTTTTCTGAGTGTGAGCAGGCATGTGAGAACAGTGAGTGTGTAAACACGGGAGGAGACAGATCTCCACACGGGAAGTGACACGGTCACATGCACAGACAACATGGAGGTGGTTTGCTTACTTTCTTACTCTGAGTTTGACAGACATCCCCACCCACCTCAGCTGAGTGATGGTATGAGCTTCTCAGTAATCAGACACAAGCTTTTCACCAAAAACAAAGGTCTTAGTATTGATGAATTTGTCTCTCTTTCTCTACCCTTCCTTTCAGCCTGCAGGCTTCCACCCATTACAGCCCAGTTCTCTATTGAGGCAATGCCACCCAATGTTGTTGAAGGGGAAAATGCTCTCCTACTGCCTCGTAATATCCCAAAGAACCTTCGAGCCTTTTCCTGGTACAAAGGAGTAATCATTGTCAGCAGACATGAAATTGCATGGAAGGAAATAATTACTAAGAAAACTTTGCTGGGGCCTGCACACAGCGGTAGAGAGATTGTGTACTTCAATGGAACCCTGGTGCTCCAAAACACCACCCAGAATGACGCTGGATACTACACCCTAATAACCTTAAATGCACAGTTAGAAACTCAAGAAACTCATGTGTACCTCCACATATACAGTAAGTGATTCTTTAGGACCTCTGGGTTCTGGTGGGGCTGATTTCCCTTTCTACACTCAGGACTGACTGTTGGAGACTGAGATCCTCCAGTCTACATTCTGTCTCCACATTGGGACTTGAGCATATAGGGTAGGACACACGTAGGTAGACATACTAAAACACACTGGAATCCCTCACCTGACTCCACCTACAGAAGAGGATTGTGCTGAGTAACTCAGCCCAAGGATGTCATTCGGCCTCAGAATTTTGGGGCTCTCACCATGAGCATGTCCTTGAGCAAGACCTCATTAGAGTCAGGCAAGGCCTATCAGGAAAACTGTTTTCATCGTGGTGAGGGGAGCATCAGGCAGCCCTGGATCCAGACCTCTGTTCCAGACTCAACTCCAGGTGACCATGGAGAGCTTGTCTCCAGGGCTAGAATTTGACGACCTGATAGAGATGGCATGCTACAATTAACCAATTAACCTACACCCATAGAGTATGAAACCCAACTGTGTATTGCCATGACAGTTGCAGCTAGCTAGGTCATCTGGGTTTCTTCTACATCAAAATCTCAGTGGACAGGTTCCAGGACTAAGACAACTCTTCTTATGGGTTTCAGAGACTTCAGGGGAAGGCCAGGCTGCCCAAGGGGAGGGACAGAGGTGACAAGTCTCCAGGCGGTACCTAGTCCTGAGGGGTCCAGCCTAGGGAATTCTCTTCTGCAGGAAAATAGCAAAAGATGCTGTGGATTTGTGCAGCTCCCCATTCCAAGCTCAACACAGGGCCCTGAAAATGATCATGCACTGAGTGCACTGGTGAAGGGAAACAGAGACCAGGAAACACAGAGAATAAATCAGGGCCACATGGCCATAGGTGACAGATAGAAACCACAAGAAATCTCTCCAATGTCATAGCCCTGATGTCTCCACCCTGGAGGGTTGATTAAGTGTCCATTGACTACAAAGGGGGGCTGTTTGAGATCTCAGAAGGGTTATTGTCATTTCCACTCCCTCTTTTGCTTCACAGAACCTGTGACACAGCCCATTATTAGAGTCACCAGCACAACAGTTACAGCACAGAGCTCTGTGGTCCTCACCTGCCTCCCAGGTGATACTGGAGTCTCCATCCGTTGGATCTTCAATAACCGAAGTCTGCAGCTCACAGAGAGGATGACATTGTCCCCAACAAAGTGCCAACTAAGCATAGATCCTGTCAGAATCGAAGATGCTGGGGATTATCAGTGTGAGGTGTTCAACCCAGGCAGCTCAAAGACCAGTCTCCCAGTCAGCCTGGTTGTGAGGAATGCCTGACCTCTTTCCACTCATCTGACAGTAGATTTGGGGCATTTCTTTATTGGTTTGGTACAAGTAGAAATTTTATGTGGTAAAAATGATGAGTCACCACTCAGGTACAGCCAGTATGGTGACTCATGACTCTAATCCTTGGGTAATGGTGTTTCTCAGGGTAGGCCAGAACATAAAGATAAGCCAGTTGTCAATTGATCCCTTTTTGTTATATTAAAATTTATTTTATTTTAATTAGAAACAAGCTTGCTTCACATGTCAATAACAGCTCCCTCTCCTTCCCTTCTATCCCCACCCTCCCCACACTCC